CGCTTAGGTATATGCTTTGAGTGCATTCGTGCAACCATGATAGTGAATTTATTTAATAGTTAATTGTATACTAATACTATATATAGTATGAATGCAAATAATTATTCAAATTAAAGTGTTAACTGGCAAATATTTATTTAATGTAATTTAACTACTTTGACTGCGCAATACGATCTTGTTTCAAGTTATTTTTTCAACCGTTATTGTCGTGAATTTTGTATTATTCACTTCGTAGCTGAACGGTCACTTTCAAGATGTGTACTTCAAATTGCGTTAAATTAAAAATATTGAGCACGTATACACTTACTGCCACGTTCTAATCCAAGAGGAATTTGCGCATATTTATCGCTGAGATACTCGTTGGGTCCGTTCGTTAGATCAACGACGGCGACTTATTACGCTCACTGTAATACATCTTCGTATAGACTATGGAGCGTTTATAATATATAAGGTAACGTTTGTTCTGTAAACCTAAATATTAGTTTTTTTTTTAGTGTTTTTCGGATTAGTTCTTTGTATTTGGATTATTTCGAGAGTTTTATAAATTCCATTGAAAGTAAAACGCAATTACTGCAAGTTACACTCATATTTAAATTTTAAATACATGATATACCTATCTTACAGACTCGATGATACATACGTGTATATATTTTAACAAAACGAGGTCATCAATCTTGATTTTGTAATTTTATCCGGTTATGTTCCATAAAAATTTAAATATTTGGTCTATTTTTTCATTTATGCATATGGCGCATAAATATTCGATATTTACAATCTGCGAACTGATAACGGCCACATGCGCGTTTAAATAACGTCGTCTCCTCTTTTGTGCATTCGCCTACCTCTGCCCTCTAGTGTTCTCTCTCTCTCTCTTTCTCCTCCCCCCTTATTTAGTCATCATTGAATCAACTCAAAAATTATTTCAACGATTTACACGGGTCTTCTCTCCCCGTGTGTCGTCGAAACCCAAATAGATTTGGGCAATTAAAATGTGTGTTTGCGTCGTGTATTGCACACGCACACACACACACACACACATACATACTCTAAAACGTGTGTATAACTATGTGCAGAGAACTCTGGCAGAAATTGAATTATTATAACGTGTAATGTGTGCGTCTGTACATAATTTATATATATGTATGTGTGCATGCATGGTACAAACTAAACTCATATAAACTCTGCGAATATATTATTATATTATATAAAATACACCTCCAGCATACAGTCGGACAAACCCCCCCCCCCCCCCCCCCCCCCCCCCCCCCGGCAAACCGGACACAACTCTTATAGTCAACTACCCTTTAAAAAATAATTTTCTGCCTCAGATTATTATTTCGTCCCCTCGGTGTGTATTGCTTAGGTCGTCATTGTCATATAATGTAATAGAATAATAATAATTTTGATCGGATAATTTCGATAAGCGTATAGGTACATACTATTTACACATAAAAACATTATGTTTTTACATCGAATTGGTCAATTTTCGAATGATTTTGACTGTCGACATTTAATATGAAAATTTGAAAACTGCGTTTGCTCTTAAAAATATACTCATATAGTCGTATTTATATAGACTGTGCTTTCATATGATCTGACCATCAAACGATTTTTTTCGACAAGTCCTCCTTTGTTGTATATGTATAAATATATTGTGCTACTTACATTACGTGTGTTCGATAGCAAAGGCGACCTACAGCTCTAGCTCGTGCGCTTTAGTAAGTATCGCGCTCTCATCCCCTCTGAAGAGTGGTGGCAGTCGTCACGTGATGGTGGTGCAGTATTATACGGGGGTTGGATTGTTGAGATTGCTTTACGATTCTCGTCATATATTTCTTCCTGCACCGTTTGTGACACTCAGATCGTACTTTTTTTGGCAAATTTTTATCACGAGCTTGCATTTTAGAAAAATTACAGCGGTGTGTATATATTATATACTTATTATTTATTAATATATATCAATATATATCAATTAGTTTGTTTTGTTCGTGCCTATAATCAATAACTGCTACTTTGAACTTTTAAGTACAACCCTAGTCTTGTACAGTCTTGTAGTCTATGTTCATATATAATATATAGTCTTGTCTATTGCGTCATCGTAACTTCAAAATCGATTCAAACGATTGTTGTGTAAAACTAAACGTATAATGTTAATATATATATATTTATATATTATATGTATATGCAATAATGGTACATTGTTTGAAAACGTTCTATGGATTTTTTCCCCGCTCCCGTTCATTACACTGGACCACCGCCGTCGGCTGATGGTTTTCATATATCTTTATCTCTCTCTCTCTGTTTCTGGTAAGTCGTCAGTGTATAATACACATACCGCGCGTTCCCCTTGTATAAAATATTTTAGCTCGTTTTGTCATTCCATTCAATATAATAATATATATGGCAACCAAATGCTCAACAAACTCCTCGCTCTGGCATTTATATAATTTAAGCTGTGGATGAACCCAGCGGACTCCGATAAAGTTTCCGTAAAGTTAAACAATACCGATGCAGCCCAAGTGAAGAAGGGCTACAAATCGCGTATGTGAGAACTGACTGAGAAGTAAAATATGACAGATCTGTCTGCATGTTTTGGGGGAACTAGATATTTAGGATGAAAATACCCGAATGAGGGTGTTTACCCGAAGGCAACTGGTTCAGGTAGTCGTATTTATACAATAATATATTATATCGTTGTTGGGGTCTGGGGATGTATAACATAAATATATATACATTATAATGTTACCGTAAAATAACCAAAACGAATAACATTCTTTGAAAGATTCATGGTCTTGTACTGGTATACAAGTGTACGTAGGTATATTCAATTATTATACCTTCTCATGTGCTACGAAAAACGTCCATCCGTTAGGTACACTGTAACAGCCAACTCTTTACGTTAGGTAACAATATCATTTAGTGACGTGTGTTTCTTACTACCTATGTATAAAATATTTTTCTTTGTGTATCATCTACACACACCCTTTATAAGACTTTTTGTATCTTTTGTTTAATTCAAAACAGACTTTTTAATATGCCCTGTTTTCTCGGTTTTGGTATAATATATTTTTGCCTTGTGACCGTGATGTGGACATCTATACATAATGTTGTACGCAAAACTGTGTATACGCGTGTAGTCTATTGTATAATGTATGTACTAGGTTTATAATATATTTATCTATATAATACCTACACATAAATTAAGTCGTGCCCACTTATTATTTACTGCACCGAGAAAGTGTTCATTTTTAACTCGTTAAATTGTATAGTTACTGCGTAAGTATGAATTTAAAAGTTACAACTTACAAGTTACAGCACAAGCACAACCTAACTAGTTTTTGAAGAATAAAATCACAATGTATTGGAGTATTGCGCTACATTATTTTACTATTGTTGCTGTACGATGTACTGTATAATCAGTTATTTTTTCTCGCATCTTTCCATTGTTATTAATTTTTTTTTCAACTAGTTTATTGTATCCTTGGATTTTATACATTCAGACGAAAAGCATTAAAATCGTGCTCCGAGGATTTGTGTTGATTCTCGTCAGTGTCATCATCGTAAACGATTAAACGCGCTCGCACAAAATATACACGTTTATTTAAAATTAGAAATTTTGTTTTATGGAAATATCACGGGTTTCTTCGCGTGTTAATGATTGATATGAAATTCTATAATCCTTATTGTTTATATACGGAATAAACGACTCATTTAAGGCGTCGAGACATATTTTTTTGTTTAGTTTTTAGTATTTTTTTCTTCGTGTTTTCTGACTATGCATTTCCACGTGATCATAAGTCTACACTGCAGGGTCAAATCGAGTGTGTATATACAGATAATTTATTACTGGCGGCCGTTGACAATACTTATCCGTCGTCGTCAAGGATATATTATATAGTATTAGTATATATACGCATTGCACGCGCTGCAGTTTCTATTGTCTTGTCCCTAGTTCGTCTAGAAATTCGAATTTTCAGCAGCTGCGTTTCTGGGATTATTGCTTTTATATATTATTATAACATGATATATAATACAATATTATCGTTTTGAATGCGATCATATTTTTTCTTTTATTACTTTCACCTCGCTTTTCGACCAGCGATCATCATAAACTAACGCTTGTACTCTTGTACTCGACTCACGGTATAGAGCAATGTCTGAAATATATGTGTCATATTCATATAAATTATAATATTTTATATTATTATATGGTACAGTCATTAATTTTATTGCATTACTTATATTGGCGTGTACCTAAACTCGTCGTACACGGATATTGCACAACAATTATTATTGTTTGCCTCATATAAAATAAGTTTATCATATAGACTGCTTGCGTCGTGGTTATAATATAATGCTGTCCCCGGACAATGTATGCCTAGTAATACGATCTTGATTAAATACCGACATCGCGTTGTAACTTGACGCAGCAATCGATTAACCAAATAGCTCCGACGCTTTCAATTTTTGTGTTTACCTTAAGTCTTGATGAAAAATAGGGTCGTCACTGTGGTATAAAATGGGTATTACAGCTATATATTATATTCCGTTTAACATCACTGTAAGTATATACAGCGGTCGTCGTCCTCGAGATTGGATAGTATACATATAGTATTACACTATTATACCCTCTACAGTCGAGTAATAACTAATAATATTGTCGCCGATACCCGTTTTTTCCCCCTTTTTATTTTTAAAACGACAAAAAGATCCCTTGAAACACATGGTGGTGGTGCCGTTCTATAAAGATCTATCCATCTTTCTAAAAATACGGTATATTATATAGTTCTGTGTACCCAGCCCCCGCATGTAATTTATTTACATTATAACAGTGAACTATAGACGTGGATAACAAGAGCGTCGTGTATCGTATGTTTATTATTTTTATATTTTATAAAAGCGTCTCGACTATACTAGACGTGCGTCAATATCTCATCATGTATACGCCTATTATATTATCATCGTCATCGTTATTTCCTTAACTTGTAGCATTCTCGCAGATACGTGATAACCGAACTAATGCAGAGCGACTTGCACAAAATTATAGTGTCGCCGCAACAGCTGTCGCCAGACCACATAAAAGTTTTCCTCTACCAGATCCTCAGGGGTCTCAAGTATCTGCATTCGGCACGAATATTGCACAGAGATATCAAACCAGGAAATCTGCTTGTCAACAGTAATTGTATTCTAAAGGTGCGTATACTACAGTCTACAACTTACAAATATTGTTCTGTAAGATATATAATATGTGTCTGACATAATTCATTGATACATGATATTATGATATAGGCGTGTTTTTTTTCACATTTAGAGCGTGTACATTGGCCTAAATTTAAAAATAATAATTATACTTTACATTCCTATCCAGAATAGGTTTATTAATTTCACGCCTGAGCTCTACCTCCGCATGCACCACGCGATTCGATGGTATTTCTGTATTTTTCTGTCGTAAATTAATTAAAAAATATACGTTCCCATTAAAACACTGTATGTAATAATAAAAAATAAAAAATAGATCTTTTTTAAAATGTTCAAAAATTTAAAAATCTTTTAATTCGCTGAAAAAAATGTGAATAATTTTTCACGTTTATAAGTATAAATTTTATGACACTAGTATATAATATAATTCTATAACTACGTTACACAGTTTTCAGCTTCTCTCTCTGCTTAGTGTTAGTCGATTCAGTTTTCTTTTCCTGTTTTCGAAACTATACTCTGGCCGTGTACGCGAGTGCATTGTTTCCAAAGCACTATTATAATGGAGAATATTTTAAAAGCATTTCCATGTTCTCACGATCATAAATCGTCAATAGCAAACAAAAATTGCAGCAGTTATAACTACACTATAATATAATTATGATACTGTAAAATTTGAGACCACTGAGAGCACCCGCTGTTTTTGTTGAATTCATGATAGAACCGTTACTTTTTAAATCCTTTTTTGTTTGTCTATTTTGTATATGAATTTTTTTGCTAAAAGTCAAAAATGTCTGATTGGCTTCACTTTTGTTATGTATTATATCATATAAAATACACCATTCAAGAAATTATAATAGTTTTCAAATTTCCCGTGTTTGTAGATTTGTGACTTTGGTCTGGCCAGAGTAGAAGAACCAGATGAGACTAAACACATGACTCAAGAAGTGGTGACACAATATTTTAGGGCGCCGGCAATACTTATGGGAGCCAAACACTACACATCGGCCATAGACGTGTGGAGTGTCGGTTGTATATTTGCCGAACTTGTCACCAGGCGGATACTGTTCCAAGGCCAAGACACGGTTCAACAAGTAAGTCACCCAAATACCCCTAGTTAAGTGTGAAATATAATAACCATATTGGTGTCATAATACCTATTGGCTATTACATAGTATATATAATTGTAAGATGTATGCACACACCCGACGACGCGCTGATGAAAAATATTAATATTAAATATATGTTTATTGCATAATCGTACTTATTTATACGCTTACCATTTTTACAGCTGGAATTGATAACGGACTTGCTCGGTACGCCGACTATGGAAGACATGGCCCACGCGTGTCCGGCAGCCCGTTCCCACATGCTCATACGACGCATGAAGAAGCCGTCCATGTCTCTGTTGTACTCTCTGTCTTCGTTGATGACGCACGAAGCGGTTCACCTGATTTCCCAGATGCTAGTTTTCAACCCGGTAAGTGTTAATGTACAGCCTGAATTAAGCCATCTCAATTAGTAGCCTCCCTAGGTATAGCTTGGTAAGTCTCGTGCTGTATATATTTTCGTTCTTTTTATTAACGTCCTGTTTTGTGTTTACGTGCCATGCAGGACAAACGGATGTCCGTCATGGACGCGTTGGTCCATCCTTACCTAGACGAGGCCGTCTGAGGTATCACAGCTGCATGTGCAATGCTGTTTCACGGTACCGTTGACGGGTCTTCGGCATTTTTGTATGGATTACGAACCGGTGGCGCCACAGACGTTCGACGATAAATGGGAGAAGAAAATGTCGAATGTACAACAGTCAAGGTACGCATGTATACGCACCCTATAAGGTGTCGTTGTATAATAATATGTAGTTTACATCACGGAAATGACGTCATGGTGACATATATATCTTACGTTTTACTAAATCTTTATTTCTTACAGAGAACTTCACAAGTTTTATCGGCGACCAGTTGAGCAGTCACCGTGTGCCATTGTGCATAAATCCCCAGTCGGCGGCATTTAAAAGTTTCTCGAGGTAAGGCTGTGAGAAACGTCCAACTCTTCTGAATCACCAAATAAAACTACACCTCGACTAACCGGTACCTATATATATATATAGTATACATATGCCTATATACATACATTTTAATAATATCTCGGCATAGCACGTATACGATTAACTTACTATTATCTTACAAAATATACATTTATGTATACATGTATAGGTATGTCGCCTTTTCGGCATAATACGTATCCAACGTACATAATTTTTATTTCTACTTTTATTTAATAATTTTGATAAACTTTTACTTATTAATCGTTCGTGAAGGTGCACAAACGTGACTTACCGGTTCGATTTAGAATATGTTGTTAGGTAGGTCCTACTTTATGGGTATATGTGAGAATATACTTTTCGTATTATTAGTTTTACGGTTAGATACTTCATTATGTTTTACCGTTTGCGCAGTAATAGTAACTTCGGCGTTAGCATTTATAATTGTTAAAAAAAAAAAATGCTATTTTTAAACATGACGAATTGTACATTGTTTTAAAAGCGTACCAATGTGTATTTTTAAGTTGAATTAAACCAAAAATTTAACAAATTGTAGGTTTTTATACATAAATATTGTTTATCCTAAAGAAGTATCTTATAAAGAAGAGGTCAATTAGGTCAATATGTCGATCTTATTCCTTTTTTGAATAACAGTTTTGTATAGGTACCTAATAAACAAATATATATTAGAATATTTTATTTAGTTTTATAGGTATCAATTTAAATAGAGTTCCCCACTCGTACATGTTTCAAATATCGACCTATATAATATTTACTATATTTTCTTTTATTTTCATATTAAACATTAATCTTAAATAAAGATCTACTTTCGCTGTTTAAAAAAAATTTATAATGGCCATGGAAAATCCATAGTTCCAAAAAAAAAAGCTAATATTATAAGAGCAATTATCTAGTGTAGATAATTACAATATAAATAACTAAATAGTGATAGAAATGCTATTCTTGACTAAATGCTAAACTACTATTTTTCGCAAATAAAAAAAATGTCGACATATCATATGTACCTATTTAACTCTCGTCGTGAAATTGAATACTTATATTCAACAATATCAATATAATTTATAACATGAATTTTTGCTCCTTTCAAATACATACGTTTATAGGAGTAAAATATATTTCTATATATTTGTCCGGTGATAAACTATTCACTTATATAAATGTGTGTTGTGTGTGTGTGTGTGTATATACGTATATTGGGCATGTATTTGTGATGACAGCTGCAGTTCACTATGTGTTGTTAGACGCATCCGTCGTCGTTATAGTGCGGTATCGATTTGTTTCATTTATTGTCCCCGCCCTTGGTTTTTTTTAAATGATAACGTTTATTTCCCCCATTACACTATTTGTACGGTTTCCGGACGATAACGCCGGTTAGAGTATAGACGTCTTTTGATAGATAATATATATTATTATGTTGTGTGACGATACTGTGGTCTACAGTAAAAATATAATGATATACCCTACAAAGGCAAGGCGTTTTTCAGTTTAACGGTGCTCGTTTTTATGCATACCAAAATTTTGGACTCCTCCATCGTGTTTATTATTTTTATTATTATTACTCTCTAGTAGTGTGATCTAATGAACATACTACAATAATGATGTGTTTGTAATAATTGATTTTTCTCATGTTTCAGTGATGTTTGATCGGAGCAGACTGCCTCATTTCCCTATATTTATATGTACCTATCTACATTATATATATATATATATATATATATATATATTATATTAACGTGATAACCGGATCTCAAATTGCGCCCCCCGAGACCGAGACTGAATGAATATAACACAATGAAATCGAGACAAGAAGATTAAACAAAAAAAAAAAATGTACATAATCCTGAATTTTTATTTCTTTCTTTTTATTTGTATGTGTGAGCAAAATGCTTGATTTTTACTTATTTAGACGATTGAATGAAAGCTCAGTGCCCAATTTTTCTTTTTTTTTAGTACGCTTATTTTCTTATAATTATTATAATTTTTAATTTTTTTTTTTTTTTACCAACCATGAAACCTAATCATTACACCACAAACCACTTATTATGATATCGAGCTCTGATTTTCGATGTTTACCAATATTATATGATAACGTACCTATTTATAAATATGAAAAAAAAATTATACTCGTTTTTGAACTCATCCGGTAATGATATTAACAGCATATACATTCACGTTAAACGCCATCGGTTTAAAGACGTTACATCAGCTTTAAACGGCCGTAAAACTTAATGTATCGGAAAGACGTGTATTTTAATTTTTTAATTATATATGTAATATAGTAACGCGGTAAAAGACGAATACGACAACGCGCTCGTGTGCGCGGAAGATAATTTTTGTAAATAATGTGATTTTTTTCGTAATGTAAATAATTATTTGTATAATTTAAATGTGTATTATAATAATATGTGAATCGCACTTAATTGTCATGTACTTTTTCGCGAACCCGAAAAACGACCACGCTGTATAGTAATAATGTCACTGTTTTATTTTTTTTCTCCTCCATCCATCTGTATTGTTCAATCGACGTATTATATAATATTATTTTGTATACAAAATACTAGTACATAACACATACTGCATACATTCGGAGTGTTAGTTTTTAAGTAATCATCTGTACGGGTCGGACTATAATATAATAATATATACGTATATATTATTATATAATTTCACAGATTTTTGAAACATGATATTTGTAATAGCTGTGTGAATTATTATTATAATAATTTTTTTTTTGTTAACATAAATAGAGCGGGTGATTTATTAAATTTTAATAATATGTATCTGTTTTTGTTTCTTCTCGTGCTGCAACTTCACGCAAAAACTATAATATCGTAAGATATATTATTAATTATGCACCTTAAAAACCACGATCATATTATGACAACAACGCATTGAATAACCAATAAAATGAAAAAATGACGTTTTTAGCAGAGATTTCTGTAATACTATATAGTGGAATTTTGCTGCGGTCCTCATAACCAATTTCTTCTGTTCATGTGCATTTTATGTCTTTATCAAGGTACTCCTTGGTTTTTATACATTTTCCCAACTATCTAAAACGTCTTCTTTAGTATCTCTTTTACATTGTGAATTTGTATGTGTAATTTTGGCGAACGTTTTTTTGCGCGCGCGACTTACCTATCCTGCCCTCATGTATAAAATGATGCTGCGCCCCTATAAGTGACCAACACCCTTTGGTTTTCTCTTCCGGACACACTTCGGCCTTTGGCATTTCATTTCAACCTCGCACACCAGAAAATCGCTCAGTCGTTGCGTTCGGTCTTTTGCCTCGATATGTGGAAATGCACTACTTCTGGCGAATATTTTGTCGTTTGATTCTATATTTAATAAACCATTAATATTTTTATAAAAAGGCGATAAAAAATATTCTCAGCACGGGGGTGGGGGGTAGTTCAAAATATCGGTGATTTATCCGATTTTTTAAAACTAAAGTGGTTCGAGATAATGTATATCGGTACAATACAATACCTATACCTATATTATATCCATGTTAAAAATACATTTATACAATATGTATGTTATACCTATAGAGTAGGTATAGATAGTATAAACTATAGTCTCTTTTTTTCGTATATTTCATTTATTTCTTTTATTCATTTCCATACAGAAGGCGAGACAGTGAGCCACCGCGACTTCTATGTTCGATACGAAACGGAATAACGGTCGTCATCTCTTTTTTTATCTCTGGCCATACTTATGTAGGTATACCGTTTGTCATAACAAAAACAACCTTATACCTACCTATTAATGTTGGATAGATGGCCCAATTTCTCGAACCGCACACTTTCACTTAATTATCGGTTTGTGCATTTCGAGCTCAGTGGAGAAAATAACAGAACGAAGGACAAATTTGGCCCGCTCAAAACGTGCGGTACTGCAGGCACCCCACTGAATACCCGAAATTAAACGCTTCAACGCAGAGAAGTCCATACTCGATAGTGTATAAATAGATCAATTCGTATGCACTATACGCTTAGGCGATTTGTACAGAATATACAGGGTGATTATTATAACATTCACAAAGTCGAAAAAATACTACGTTTACATTTGAAGTATACTCCTACCTGTTTAGAGTTATAACGTCACGAATTTTTGTAGGTTAAAATCCAAAACTTACAGACATGAAATACAAGTACCTAATTTGAGCTTATTTGGTGTGGGGGGGGGTTGAACTTTTTTTTATCAAAAGTTAATTTCAATCAGGTAATCATGAAGTAGTAAAAATGTATTATACCTAAATACCACATTAAGAGGACGTGTTAGATTAGGTTTGTCTCCGTCTTAAAAATGTACCACATAAACGATTATGCGAGTTAATAGATATTAATATTATAATATCTGCCCGTGGAAACAATTGCCAACAAATAATTCATTAGGTACCATCTGAGACACTACATATAAAATCCGAGAAGATAATGATATGAATGTCGAACGCATGATGATCACATTTCTCATACACCCATTTAATGTTGATCGACTAATTAATATTATGTTACTACTTACTCGTACCGAATACAGCTGGAGTGTGTCCGGGACGAGGATTTCGAAAACCATTAAATTGAAAATGGAAAGGCATACAAAGGCA